TAGTTTTAGGGCATACCCACAATATAGTTTTTTTTTGTCTTGATGTTTTAGGTATTGAAGTCAATATATGTGCATGCATTTAAAAGGTTGAATTTATTAATAAATAAATACCGCGTTTCCCGGAACACGAATATACGGAACCTTTCATCATATCAATATCAATATCGATTGTAAATCGTAACATATGCAATAATAATGATACACAAACGATACAATCGATTTAACCGACAAAGACAGTGATACATACGAGATAGCATACAATCATGAACCAGAAACATTTACCTCGTGATTTAAATTTAAATTAACATAGACAGTAATGTCACATGCAGACGCGTGCGCTGTTTGCCCCCCCCCCCAGTACAGGTGGTTGCGGTCGCCAAAAAAACCGCGTCAAATGTCATCCCTCGTGTATGTAACACCCCGTCAGTCATCAACGTTGCAACGTCTTCCAACTGTAAATCTATAGCGGTCTCTCGTAGTCTACACACCTGGGCACCTAGTACACCTGGTGTATACCTGGGCGGCGTACAGTCGTCGTACACCTGGGTGGCGTAACAGAGCAAACCAAAGCGCGCTCACTGTACGTGGTCAATTACCTGAGCGTGTGTGCATATGATGGGGGGGAGGGGGTATAAGTTGATTACGCCTATAAACTGTAATTTTGTCGTTCTCGTTTTTTTCGCTCCTCCGTTAGCTCAGGTGATGAAATCTTTGTGCTAGGGCCGGATACTGGCAGACACGTGGCGTGTTTGCGGACGTCGGAAAACGTATTTAGCAAAGCCAGCGACCGTGAATAACGATCGAGCTATGATGAGGAGTACGTCACCCGCGTGCGCATGCGCATCCTGACGGTCATACGGGGCGTTGCGCAGGCTATCCCGGTAACGGAAAGCCGGTATGTGTGCGCGCCTATGTGCGTGTGTGTGTGCGACCCCCTGGACCCCCCCCCCTGTACACGCCCCTGATCTAACGTGCTTATCGGAATATTGCTGGATCTATAATAGTAAACAGTGCGACCCACTTTTCTTCTACAGCCGCAGTGGTCCCTCCTCATGCACCTACCTCTTTCTCTATAACCAAAGTGGCACCTTCCCATACACCCACATATCCCCCTATAGCCAAAGTGGCACCGTCCCCTGCACCCACCTCTCCCTCTATAGCCATAGTGGCACCTTCCCATGCATCTCCCTCTCTTGATCACGCGTGGAAATTCTCATATCATGTACTTAACGACACACCAATGCCTCATATTTTAACAGCCGGCCCCCACATAGAGCTGAGAGCTCCCCCTTACATCAGAGCTACGTCAGCTGACACGCAGCGCCACCTAGGTCCCGCCGCGTCTCTTCCGCCCGCCAACGCCACCTACTTCTCATTCATCAGCAATCTCACCATCTGTTTCACACTGTCGCCGCAGGAGGGCGCTGGTTTATCGGGTCTGATCGTCTACAACAACACCCTGGTGGTGACTAACATGCCAGCACTGACAGCGCTGGACACGTGGGTGCGCGTCTTCCGTCTGTCATGCCGCTACAGTGGCGCCGCCTCAGATACGGTCAACATCGGACTGAATGTGTCGTGAGTATATACGCTAGTCGCGTCCTCAGTGGCCCACTGCATATAAATGTGTTGACTGTGTCACATAAATGTGTCGTAAGTATATTATAGTCGTGTCGTCAAGGACGAGTTGCTGACTGCATGCGAACACAATGTGTTGACTGTGTCACATAAATTCTGTATGCATGTTTGACTGTGGGGAAACTCGTTATTGTACATGAATCGACAGCATTGAGGCGAATTTTACGTTGATGGCTAGACAAGCAGGCTATAAGCTCTTCGATTTATAGCGGAGCTCCCGCACGAGCGGAGCACCATACTTAAGAAATGAGTGAGTGAGTGAGCGAGTGAGTGAGTGAGTGAGTGAGTGAGTGAGTGAGGGGGTGAGTGAGTGAGTAAGTGAGTGAGTGAGTGGGTGAGCGAGCGAGTGAGTGAGTGAGTGAGCGAGCGAGTGAGTGAGCGAGTGAGTGAGCGAACGAGCCGGCGATTCGGTGGATGGATGTATTACGTAGCTTACGTGTGAAGAATACGAACATTCATCTTCAAAATACGCTTGCTGAAAAGCAATCTCTAGATGTCGGATCGATGGGAATAGAGGATATTACATGTGGACCGTGCACAAGGAGCTTATAATGATCATAATAGTTATTATAAGTTCTTTGCCGTGCATGAAATCTAAACACCGCTATTTTTGCGGTCACAAAAATTTTGTCACAAAAAAAACGTCACATGCGGATCGACAAGCATGAAGGTTACTCACTTACAAGCTGACATGAATGAAGTATAACATGACATGACATCTGTGTAAGCTGACAGCATTTTGACATGATCATATTAGGCTTGCAGGATTGGTACAGCTTTGCAAGCCGGTGCATTTTGCCGTCTACAATAATCCGATGGCATTAGGTTCTGCCAAAAGCTAATAATACAAGAATTATTCGCTCTTGGCTTTTATCCTAAAATCAAATTTAATATCGTTTCGATTCACGTCTACATGATTATATCTATAAGCTCGGAAGCAGCTTAGCATGCGAAGTTCGATATAAGGTAGCTCTAGAACTATAGCCCTTCGCTGCGCCACAGGTGCCGTACTTGTTAATGTAGTTTTAGTGCAAGGTTTCTTAACCTGTGGTCCATGGACCCCTTTAGGGTCCGCGGATGGGTTTCAGGGGGTCCCTGAACCCCATTGTTTGCAAAGGTTTGTGTTTATGTGTTTTTTTTGGGGGGGAGGGGTTCGTAGCTTTCACCAGATTCTCAAGGGGGTCCATGACTCAACAAAAGGTTAAGAACCACTGCTCTATAACTATGGCCTTTTGCTCCGCCACAAGAGCCGCACCTGTTAGTGTAGTTACAACAACAACAACAACAACAACAACTACTACTACTACTACTACTACTACTACTACTACTACTACTACTACTACTACTACTACTACTAAGGGCAGTTTATACAACCGGCCGGGCAGCTAGGAAGCTCGGCAGGGCAAGCCGGAAACGGGCAGTTTATACAACCGGCCGGGCAGCTAGGAAGCGAGCGATTTAGGGCAAGGACGAGGCAAGTGGGGTTCAATCAGGTTGGTACACTAGTCGGCGAGCCGGGATACGGACAGTTCAGGGGAGAAACAGGGCAGCGATTTGGGTTCAATGGACCACCAACAAGGCAGGTAGGGTTCGGGCAGATCGGAGAACCAATAGATCAGTCGGGGTTTGTCAATATTGGTGCGCCGACAGGACAAACAGGTTTCGTGCAGGAACGTCGCATCAACTACGACTACTCGGTCAATCACGTGGTGGCGCCATCTGGCGGCAGCTTTCGCACGGGGCCGAGTACGCAGCGACTGTCGGTCGCTGGCAACACGCCAGATTCTGTCGTCACGCTGCAAGAGCTGCTGAAGGGCGACACCTACACCGGACGACCGATCTCGTATGGCGACAGCAGCCGCCGTAAGGAGGTAGTGAGACCGGATAAGCCGACGACGTCTCAATACTACAATCCGTGGGCCGTGAGCAGTACGACGTCAGCGCCTGTCAAGCGCCTTCACCCGCTGCATGGCTACGCGGTTAATGTGCGGGAAACACCCGCCAGGTTACTCACGACGGTGGCGCCACCTACTCGCAACATATCGCCATTTCTATGGACAGAGGCGCCGCCTGTACGTGACAGCTACGGGTATGTCGTCACGGATACGGGCGGCGTCGTGACGTTTGGCACGGCAGTTCAGCAGCAGCAACAGCAGCAGCGGCAGCAACAGCAGCAGCTACAGCAACAGCAGCAGCAGCAGCGGCAGCAGCAACAGCAGCAGCAGCAACAGCAACAGCAGCAGCTACAGCGGCAGCAGCAACAACAGCAGCAGCAGCAGTGGCAACAACAACAACAACAACAGCAGCAGTGGCAGCAGTGGCAGGACCCCTATCTTTACCCTGGCAGAACGCGCAATCCGACCGTACCGTATTCGTTCTCACGCGGCAGCTATGCGAGTGTGAACATCGCAACGCCGTCGCCGTCGTCGCCGTCGCCGTCGTCGCCGTCGCCGTCGTCGTCGCAGCCGACGGTTACAGCGGCAGGCGTCACGCGCGCCCCCACCACGCGGTCGACGTACGCGTTCGTCTACCCGTCGTTCTTCATGACAACGCAAGCATTTGATCCCGTTGCCATGGGGATGGGAGCTGATCAGAGCCCTCCCGCTAGCAGCCGCTCGCAAGCGAAACGCAGACGAACGCAGACTCGGAAGAGGAGGACGACGACGATGGCAGCGACAACGTCAACGACGACGACGACGACAACGACGACGACGACAACAACGACGACGACGACTGCTAAGCCGACGACTGCTAAGCCGACGAGACGTCCTGCAGAGATTCACGTTTATTACGGCGATGACGGCACGCTGATCTCGTACAAGGAGCAGACGACGGCAGCGCCACCTAGGCAGAACCAGCTGCCCTATCCGTTCTTTCCGTTCTTCTCTGGCTTTATAAACCCCTATGTGTCCACAACGCAGGCGTATCGGCCGACCTTCCCGACAACGCCGCAGCCGACGACAACGACGACGACGACGACGACGACGACGACGACGACGACGACGACGACGCCTGTTCCAGAATCAACAATGAAGAATCTGGCGTCGGCTACTGCCATGATTGACTTTGGAATGCGTGCGATGCCGATGCCGACCACGCGGTCGACGTTGAACACAAATGTTAGGATGACCATAAAAGACACAAGTAGCAGTGCCAGTGGTGCCACCTACCGCCCGAGCAAGAATTCTTTCCTCGGGAAGCCGGTAGTAGCGGTTGCAGAGGAGCAGAACTCTGTAGAAGGTTAGGAAAGCAGTGCGATTTCACATGGTAACACGGATGCGTACGTGTGCGTGTTAGTATATGTGACTGCGTGCGAGTGTACGTGTGTGTGTGTGTGTGTGTGTGTGTGTGTGTGTGTGTGTGTCTGTGTGCGTGTGTGCGTGTGTGATGTGTGGCTCTAATTACAGCACTTTGTATAACAATACAGCGCAAGCACTACAAGCTTACTAGCACAATGGATGCAATTAAGGATGGCGTCCAAATCTCGTGTTCTAACAACATCCTATTATAACATCCTATATGTTAATTACGGAATTCTATAGCTGTGCGGCAGTACCAGTGGTGACGTCCTTCGCAGATGACACAACAGTGAATGCGTCACCTGTCTAATTTAATGCCAAAAACATTCAGATTGGCCCACTGTGTCAAATTTTATGACAAAAATGGTATTTTTGCACCAGAAATGGGCGCCATATTGAATTTTTAAGTGGCTAACGGGTTTTTAAAAATAAGTAGTTCCATAGGAGTGTCCATGAGTTTTTTTTATGAGAATTTTAGTGCCTGTCTCCCTATTTGAAAGGTTATATCACTACTTATCTACTGGATTGTTCCCCTTACAGACGTGAGCGTTGTTTGCGACGCGGACGCCGGGATGATGGAGGTAGACATGCGCTTTTCACGTGGCTTTCAAGGCATCGCATACAGCCGTGGCAACATGGAACTGCTCGGTTGCCGCAGTCAGGGCAATGGCTCTCACTCGCTACGTCTACTGCTGCCGCTGCGTGCATGCGGGACGGTCGTTGCCAAGGTAACGGCCTACCTGTTGCGACGTTCTTCCATTATGGTTATTTTTTTGTATTGGGGTTCGCTCACACGAGACCTAGAAGCGAAATAAAAAACAACAACAATGCGGAACCTCGAGTATGCTGGGCATGGCGCGTCCCGCTCTGCCCGACAGCACGTCTGCATATATATATATATATATATATATATATATATATATATATATATATACATTATATAATATATTATATGCTCGTGCCCTGGTTACAGCCTTCATTAAGAGCTGTGTGTAATCCATGCGAAATAGAAACAGTTTTCACTGCGAGTTCTTGCCGCACAATCACGGCTGCATTCGTGTGCCTCATGATTGCCTCCGAAGGTATCGGATTAATTACGTAGGCTTCACCAAGGAATACCTTCGACAACGTCGGTTGTTCGGGTGAATGTAGACAGTATGAATAGAAGAGCTGCATGTTTTCCAATCAGTGCGTATGAATGACTGGCTCATACATATTCGTTGTATC